GGTAGCCCGTCTTCCCCCCCCCCCCCCCCCACCCCCACGGCCCCCCACGTCGCCCCCCCCTCGCCCCCGTCGGGCATGCCTTGTCGGTGCAGGTACTGCCCCTGCTGGTGGTGGTGGTGCTGCAGCTGGTGCTGCAGCTGGTACTGCTGCTGCAGCTGGTGGTGGTGGTGGTGGTGCGGCGGCTGCTGCTGGTAGGCGAGCCCTGCGGGCACGCCGCCGTCCATGCCCCCCCTGTAAAACCCTCCCCCGCCCGCCGCCGCTCCTCCCGCACCCGCGGAACCCCCGCCGCCGCCGCTTCGGGCCCGGCTCCAGCCGTTGTCCTCCATGCCCATGGCCCCGCCGTAGCCGCTCCCGGCCCCGCTGAGCACCCCCCTGTGCGGAAGGTGCGCGGCAGCCCCGCCTCCCGCCGCTCCCCCCGCCCCCGTTCTGTCCTGCGATGGCGTCATGCCGCGGAGGTACGCCGGGTGGTGGTGGTGGTCGCCCCCGCCCGCGTAGGGATTGAGGTGGTGGATGTCGCCCGGTCTGATACTTGCGCCGGGGGGTGCGCGGCCCGCCAACGCTACTGCGCTGCCCATTCCCGGGCTCGGTACCTTCAAAGACAGAGGGACACGACCAGAAAAAAAACGAGCGACGACAAAAACAAATATAATATGCATGTGCACGTGGTTCAGCATCCTTTTTTTTTTTCGCTCATGGTATAGGCATTGTAGGTCTCAACACACAAACCGGCTGGCGTCACTGACACACGCACTATTAAATCGCAAGCGTGTTGCGGCCCGCTGACGCCTTCGTTTAGTTTACGCGGTCGATGCCAGCTAGCAAAACACATACACACACACCTCAGGACTCCTTTCCCTGTTGCCTCTCGACGGAATCACAAGCTCCGGCTCAGAGTCTGTCTCGTCGTCTTGGTTCATGAATCGCGGTCCGCTGCCGTACACTTTTCTGGTGTACTCCGGTGGGCACGGCGGGACAACCCCTCGTCGTACCTGGAACAAAAACAAAAGAAAACAACACAACAGGAAAAGGAAAAAAAAAACGTTCATGATACATGGAGGGGGATTTGTCTCAGTAGTCTCGGTTGTAAATATTTTTTCTGGTACTGCTGTAGCTCTACCAGGCATGCAAAATAAGCGAGTAAAAAACAAAACACACCGGGCGACTGGACGCACCGCTCAGAAACGCCGCCTCCACTACAAGAAGATGGCATACAGCAGGACGCATGAAAATATCATATGCATTCAATAGAGAGGCCCTAACACTACTATTCTGTATTGCAAGCTTTTTGTCTCTTACCTCTGATAGCAGCTCGGGTCTATCCCTCAAGAACATGGGGTGCATGTAGCATCCAGACTCGCGGCCCTTAACGATCTTGCGGAAGCCGTAGAGGTTTAACTGCCGCTGAAAGCTGCTGAATTTGTTGTCTGTAGTGACCAACAGCAAGAAAGAAAGCGCACGCGAGGGGGGGGGGCGGAGCGGGTGTGGGTGTGTGGAGAGACACAAAACATTATATAATATAATTCTGAAAAAAAAAAGAGCGAGGAGATGGAGGGGTCTTCGCGACGTTGGCCCAACCCCACGCTAACCTACGACGTGGAGAAATAAAAATGCTGAAAAAGAACCAACGGCGTACCGCACATGTTTTTTTCATTAATTTATCTGGTGTAGATAACTGATCTGCAGGGCCTCCGGGGGGGGGGATACGTGGATGATACGGGCATGGCGAGCGAGGTCCTTGTTGCTTCTTGACTCCCTCCCGAAGCCACTCGCTTAACCAATAAAGGTCTTGGATCGTAAACCTTGTTTCTCTGTCTCTGACGAAGAAGATGCACTCTGTCGGGCATCTCCAACAGCCCCCCGCCTCAACGACTGCCAGGCAAAGCCAAAACCAACCATCAACTATCCAGCATTCGTATCCAATCCAAAAAATGCTCTACGAAATGTGTTGATCACCCAAAACAACACGTTCCACGGAATCTTTCAAATCTTCTGACGATTACTATCATCCCTCAGACAGCCTGTCAACATAAAAATCATCCTCTTGAGAACATCTGTCTCAAATTTCAGTGAAACGCTATCGATCACCCCTGGAAAAATTTCATCCCGGCACAGATCTTAACATTACGTCCGAGTCCACGCCATCACCAAATTTCCAGCTTCCGTAAACGGCGAACATCATCTATTGGGAAACAAAGGTTTGCAAGGCCTCTCTCTGTTTAACATCACCATCGCGACCATTTCACCTGCAACAAAAGCTCATCCAGTCGTCCGCAACAAAACGCAGGCAAACACGAGAGATCCAACAGAAACACACCGTACCAACGCACGGCACTACTACACATGCAGCGTACGAAGCGTCAACCAAACTAGAAAAGAGCTGCCTGCGTCCAGAAACCGCCACAACAAAACAAACCCGATGCGACACGCGGTACTCCTAGCATCTACGTGGGACCGCATGATGTCGTCCTGCGTGTGACCAGCAAGGGCAAACGCTCCCCGCTTCGCCCGCGTCCCGTTTCGCCCGCGTCCTCATCACGCCTGGCGCCCCCCCCCCCCCCCCCCCCCCTTGGCAACGCCCAAACCACGGGCACCGCCATGGACCTTTGGCCTTCAACATCCCCCGCCCATTGCCGGGAGGCGGGAGAATTTCACCCACAC